TCTTTCTTTTCTTCTTCTTTTCATTCTTCTTCTTTTCATTCTTCTTTTCATTCTTCTTTTCATTCTTCTTCTTCTTCTTTCTTCTTCTTCTTCTTTTCATTCTTCTTCTTCTTCTTTCATTCTTTCTTCTTCTTCTTTTCATTCTTCTTTTCATTCTTCTTCTTCTTCTTTTCATTCTTCTTCTTCTTCTTTTCTTTCTTCTTCTTCTTCTTCTTCTTCTTTTTCTTCTTTCTTCTTCTTTTCATTCTTCTTTTCTTCTTTTCATTCTTCTTTTCATTCTTCTTCTTCTTCTTCTTTTCTTCTTCTTCTTCTTCTTCTTTTCATTCTTCTTTTCTTCTTTTTCTTTTCTTCTTCTTCTTCTTTCTTCTTCTTCATTCTTCTTTTCATTCTTCTTCTTCTTCTTCTTTTCATTCTTCTTCTTCTTTTCTTCTTTTCTTCTTCTTCTTCATTCTTCTTCTTTTCTTCTTCTTCTTCTTTTCATTCTTCTTCTTCTTCTTTTCTTCTTCTTTTTTTCTTCTTCTTCTTCTTTTCATTCTTCTTTTCTTCTTTTCATTCTTCTTTTTTTCTTCTTCTTCTTCTTCTTCTTCTTCTTCTTCTCTTTTCTTCTTCTTTTCATTCTTCTTCTTCTTCTTCTTCTTCTTTTCTTCTTCTTCATTCTTCTTTTCTTCTTCTTTTTTCTTCTTTTCTTCTTCTTTCTTCTTTTCATTCTTCTTCTTCTTCTTCTCATTCTTCTTCTTCATTCTTCTTCTTCTTCATTTCTTTCTTCTTTTCTTCTTCTTTCTTCTTTTTCTTCTTCTTCTTCTTTTCATTCTTCTTCTTCTTCTTCTTCTTCTTCTTCATTCTTCTTCTTTTCTTCTTCTTCATTCTTCTTTTCATTCTTCTTCTTCTTCTTTTCATCATCTTCTTCTTCTTCTTTTCATTCTTTTCTTTTCATTCTTCTTTTCTTCTTCTTTTCTTTTTCATTCTTCTTCTTCTTCTTTTCATTCTTCTTCTTCTTCTTCTTCTTCTTCTTTCTTCTTCTTTTCATTCTTCTTCTTCTTCTTCTTCTTCATTTTTCATTCTTCTTCTTCTTTTCTTCTTCTTCTTCTTCTTCTCATTCTTCTTTTCATTCTTCTTCTTCTTCTTCTTCTCATTCTTCTTTTCATTCTTCTTCTTCATTCTTTTTTCATTCTTCTTCTTCTTTTCATTCTTCTTTTCATTCTTCTTTCTTCTTTTCATTCTTCTTTTCTTTCTTCTTCTTCTTCTTTTCATTTCTTCTTCTTCTTCTTCTTCTTTCTTCTTCTTCTTCTTTTCATTTCTTCTTTTCTTCTTCTTCTTCTTCTTCTTCTTCTTCTTCTTCTTTTCTTCTTCTTCTTCTTCTTTTCATTCTTCTTCTTCTTCTTCTTCTTCTTCTTTTCATTCTTCTTCTTCTTCTTTTCATTCTTTCTTTTCATTCTTCTTCTTCTTCTTTTCTTCTTCTTCTTCTTCTTCTTCTGGCAACTCCACCACGCAGCTCATTTTTTTCCAGTATTACTGTATTTTGCTCCTTCAAAATCCTGAAACTTTCTTTTGGCAGGTGTACAGACTCAGGTACTCAGTGCAGGAATGGTGGGAATCCCTCACAATGGACACAGCAGGTGTACATACAGACCCAGGAATTCAACACAGGGACAGTGGGAACCCCTAATAATGGGTAAAGCAGGTGGGCAGACCCGGAATCTCAGCACATGGATGGTAGGAACCCCTCATAATGGGCACAGCAGGTGTGCATACCCAGAACCTCAGCACAGGGATGGTGGGAACCCCTAGTAATGGGCGCAGCAGGTGTGCAGACCTGGGACCTCAGCACAGGGATGGTAGAAACCCCTCATAATGGGAACAGCAGGTGTACAGACCCAGGAATTTAGCACAGGGATGGTGGGAACTCCTCCTAATGGGCAGAGCAGGTGTACAGACCCAGGAACTCAGCACAGGGATGGTGGGAACTTCTCATAATGGGCGCAGCAGGTGTGCAGACCTGGAACCTCAGCACAGGGATGGTGGGAACCCCTCATAATGGGCACAGCAGGTGTGCATACCCAGACCTCAGCACAGGGATGGTGGGAACCCCTAGTAATGGGCGCAGCAGGTGTGCAGACCTGGGACCTCAGCACAGGGATGTAGAAACCCCTCATAATGGGAACAGCAGGTGTACAGACCCAGGAATTTAGCACAGGGATGGTGGGAACTCCTCCTAATGGGCAGAGCAGGTGTACAGACCCAGGAACTCAGCACAGGGATGGTGGGAACTTCTCATAATGGGCGCAGCAGGTGTGCAGACCTGGAACCTCAGCACAGGGATGGTGGGAACCCCTCATAATGGGCACAGCAGGTGTGCATACCCAGAACCTCAGCACAGGGATGGTGGGAACCCCTCATAATGGGCACAGCAGGTGTTAGGGGGTTTAACTCTCCAGCATCCATTAGAGACTGATATAGTAATATAGTTCATTCTTCTTTTCATTCTTCTTCTTCTTCTTTTCTTTCTTCTTCTTTTTTCTTCTTTTCATTCTTCTTCTTCTTTTCATTCTTCTTTTCATTCTTCTTCTTCTTCTTTTCATTCTTCTTCTTCTTTTCTTTCTTCTTCTTTTCATTCTTTCTTTCTTCTTTTCATTCTTCTTCTTCTTCTTTTCATTCTTCTTTTCATTCTTTCTTCTTCTCATTCTTCTTTTCATTCTTCTTCTCATCTTCTTCTTTCATTCTTCTTCTTCATTTCTTCTTCTTCATTCTTCTTTTCATTCTTCTTTTCATTCTTCTTCATTCTTCTTTTCATTCTTTCATTCTTCTTTCTTCATTCTTCTTCTTCTTTCTTCTTCTTTTCATTCTTCTTCTTCTTCTTCTTTTCATTCTTCTTTTCATTCTTCTTCTTCTTCTTCTCTTTCTTCTTCATTCTTCTTCTTCTTCTTCTTCTTCTTCTTCTTCTTCTTCTTCTTCTTTTCATTCTTCTTTTCTTTCTTCTTTCTTCTTCTTTTCATTCTTCTTCTTCTTCTTCTTCGTCGTGCCCCGTGACTGCCCAAATGAGTGAAGTGTGCGGTGATTCTAAGATCGACGGCACTCATCTGCATGTCATACTGACTGACAGTATTATTTCTCTTCCCCAGCAGACTCCAAGGGCATTTAAATTAAAGGTACAGTGTTCTGCACTAATATAAAGGCTCTCTGAAGCCTAGAAACCCTTTTAATTAGTTAAATTCGCAGCGAATAAATTCGCCATCGAATCAAAATTTCTCCCGCAAATTCGGCGAATCAGCCGAATCGAATTTTTGAATAATTCGCTCATCTCTAATAACAATGTACCTGGGTCTTTAAACCATTATATTTAGAAGGCCGGTCTGACCTTCAGACTATATTAAACTGCCCCCAGACTTAATGCAACTGTAGTAAAGTGCACAAAACTGAAAGCCCAGCTCAGATGAGCTTGCAAAGTAAACTCTCTGGAGGAGGGGGTGATTTGGAAGTCAGTGTCTCGGTAAACGAGGGGAGTATCAGTTGCCATTGTGAAAAGAGTGCTAACTTTTTGCATGCTGGCAATGTAGCATACTCATCACAGTGCCAACCAGTGGTTGCTGCAGCACCTTACCAATAAGGTTTTAATTCATTATGGTGTGAAAAGTTAAAGTCCTTTGACCTGCCTGATCACCTTTTAAACCTGATAACATAAAATCAGCCATAGCAGGCAACTGTCTTGTTTTGTTTTTGTATCCTTATCCTACTTTGTATATTCAGTGACAATGACTTATTTTTATATCTGTGAATCTATTCATCAAAGAGAGTCTGTGAGTTCAGGATGATTCACTGTTGTCAGTGATTCACACCATTTCTTGTATCTGATAGTCCACAAGTGACCTGCACAGTCTTCCAGGCTTTCAGGCTGAATAGAGCATATAGTTATTCCCAGCATCATTTCAGCTTTGTCCTGTTAAAGTCACCAACATTCTATAGAAAATAATTTTCTGGGTGAGTGCAGAAAAGAACCTACAAGGGAGGGAGGCATAAAAGTGACATTCCTCTAATCATATGCTATTCTATTCATTATTATTTCTATTTTTCAATCCCACTCATCTGCAATGACACCGTATCCCCCTGAGGAAGCCATGTGGCGCAATGCGTAGGGGAGGGGCTTGATTACGTCACGACGCTCTCGATACACCATTACAGTGTCATTGCAGATGAGTGGGATGGATCTTTGCTTGCTTGTATTTATACATTATTGGATCTTTCTGCGCAATATATCTGGTGCGATATAGCACCTCTATTATGTGAGTGGCCACTTTTTATATTTTAATAAAATAGAGTTTTTAAAGGATAAAGCACTATTGTGTTTTATATTTTTTTTACCATGTATGCTAAGTGGAGGAGGAGAGATTAAGGAGAGTGGTGATCTGTGAAGGAAGATTCCATTGCCAGGATACACCGGCTTATACATGTCCATTTCAAGGTACACGTGCGTTTTTTAAACCAAACTTTTTTGTGAGGTCAAAAACTCCACGTGAGGGCACATTTAGTGTTAATTTTGGTGGAGGATTTAATCACATGAAGAAGATGAAATACGAAATGTATTTGAGTTGAAGAAATCACCATTTAGAGACTTTTTTGTTCAATGATTTGTAGTCACTAGTTCACATTGATATATGTTTACACATTTTTTGGTTTTATTAATATATATAGTAGGAAGCGTGTCACTGTATGTATACAATTTGTATTTTTGCACATATTATGAGTATGTGGTAGTGCAAGTCGCTTTCCGGATTGTAGCTCATAGTTTTTGATTTACACTGCTCGTGAGAGATTGTTCATTACAGTTGTGTATCTATCTTAACATGAAGCCCTTCAGCGGCACGCTGTCACCACTACAGAGGCTTCCATCTTCACCCAGTCCTTCTTCTGGGTTTGCGATATCCGGCCATCTAAAAGGCCGTATGACATGCATGTGGGAGTCCCAATCCACGACACACAGCTCTGAAGAGTGGCGCGGGTATGCCCAGGGGCGGACTGACAACTCATGGGGCCCCCCAGCAATAGGGGATCATAGGGCCCCTGTGTCCTTGCCCAAACTCAAAAAAGCCAATGAAAAAGGTACCAGGGGCATCTCATAGAACCCCCTACTGACCCCGGGCCCTCGGGCAGTGCACGAGTTTCCAAATGGTCAGTCCACCCCTGGGTATGCCGTACCTTCAGAGTGCATGCGTTGGCTTTAGGAAAGAGAGAATATCTCCTAAACGGTGCATGTTTAGAAGATATTAATTGTACCTACAAGTAAGCTTTATTATAAGCTTATCTGTAGGTAAAATTTAAAAAAAAAAGTTTACTACCACTTTAAGCATGATGGTATATGTTCCCTTTTTTGTTTGTTTTGTTTTGACTTCAGATCTGCTTTGCATATACCCGCCCTCTGGTCGTGGGCGGACTTTGAAGTTCACATAGTCAAATCCGTGGGGTATGTATATGTGAGGTTTGGGTTCTGTCTAGTTGGGTCTGAAGAAGAGCCGCTTCTGGATCCTGGACAGTGCTTTCCTGGCATTGGTTCCTGTTGTGTCATTACTTTCACTGCGCCCTGAGGTGGTGGCTTTACATGCCTGATATCACACATGTTTGTGAGTTTGTTTTTTAGCTTGACTTATTATCAATAAACCCCCCGGGGATAAGGCTGGTGTGCCCTCTTTCTTTTGTTTCCACACAGCACTGAGCCTGATGCACAAACCCATTGATCATTGTCATGTAAAAACACCAAACTCATTTGCAATTTGCTGGATAGTTTTTTTGATTTACTGTTACCCTATAACTGACCCGATTTTCAAGCCAATAACCAATTGTGCTTGGATGTTAAGGCGGTGAATTAGGGTCCCCCTTGTGATAAATAGCATTCAATCTTGATGGAAATGTTTTCCAAACACAAAAAACATATTGCTCTCCTACTGGGTGATACAACTGTTTCAAAGACAACAACAACAAACAATTGTTAATGTCTTAATAAAACTTTTAAAAGTGTATTTCCATATTTGAAGTCACATTTGAGAAAACCCCACCATATATTTGTTAATGTTCCCATTCACATAGCATGTCTAAATTTTTTTTTCATACCTTGGTGTCATGGCTGACTACAAGGGTTTTTGAACAATGTTAGAGTGAGCCTGCCCCACGTCTGTCCTCATTACCATAAAATGCAAGAGGCTCTCTTTTAGGACAGGCAATGTTTAAATCTTTTTTTGATTGATAATGAAGACCTGCACAATACAGACAGGGATTATTATAGCAAACAGAGTTGCTCAGCCCCCACAAAAACAAGGAGAACTACCTTGAATGTTTTATTGCTGGATGGTCAAAAATAGAACATCCAAAAAGGTAAGTTGCAATTTTGAATTGTTTTTTTAAGTTATGCTATGTGAATGAGGACATGTAATAAATGTAAAGTGTTATTCCAATTTGGTTGCCAAAGTGGAAATATGCTTTACTGTAATCATACTGTATGCTTTGCCCAAGCTAAACAAAGCAACAGGTACACTTAAGTGCAGCCCTCCACAGCAGCATATACGTAGCTATGCTTTTCTCCTCCGCTGCTCTATTCAGTGTATGTAATCTAAAAGTTACTGAAGTCCAGGCTTAGGCTGACCATACACTATACAATTTTCTTTAGAAAATTGCTTTAGATTTACCAAAAACCATATAATATGAGGTCAAACCTAAACAACACTTTCAATTGTATCCAATTAGGCAGGCCCTTGCACTACATAGTTTAAGATAAATCTAAAGGAAATTGGGAGAAATAGGACAGAAAATTGTATAGTGTATGGCCAGCCTTACAAAGGGCTCTGGACTCCCAGTGTGAAAGTACTGATTGTCCAGCACTGCCACCTGAAAGGAGTAATATGCTCCTCAACACCAAAAAATACTAGATATTTCTTTTGGATCTCAGTGCTGAACTTGTACTGAAAACATTTTTTTTTTATAATATGCAGCCACTTAATTGAAATCATTCAGTAAAATGATTGTTCTGCATAATAGCCAGCAAATATAAGGCTGTTTCAAGGAACAAGATGCAATACTCTACTGTGAAAACCCTTTTGCTCATGATGTGGTCACAATCCAGAGATAATGCCACCATAACTGCTGCCAGGAAAACAAATATATCAAAGCCAAAACATCCTTTTTTATACTTTTGAGCACAGTAAGGAAATGTTTAAAACCACATCAGGTTTTTATTTCTGTCTATGCCCTCGCTGGGGTGATTCCCTCTATTTGTCCTAATGACTATTGTCACTAGGATAAAAGGTGATGTGCAAGCTGAAATTCTGCAAGTGTCACTAGAACAGGAGGTCAGGAGAACATTTTCAATGGGGACAGCTGCTCCACTTGCTTCCTCTTATGTCTCTTGCACAGGAAGAGTGTGCAAATCTACCCATTAGTACATAAACTGAAAAGAATTGGATTTTATTACTCCATAATGTATCCAAAATGAAAAAAGATTTAATTTTACATATACCTTCAATGTGATTTTATGGATGTCAGGATGCAGTCATTTACTGTGTTGCTTGTTACAACTCACTACACAATAAGCATTAAAGTGAAACTTATTTCCTTCATAACAGTTCAAAGTTCATGAAAGGTCCATTGCCAGCATCGGCGTCTTCTCTTCAGGCATCTTCATAGGCAGGTGTGGGATGATATAACTCCTGCACATGCTCAGGAGTCAGTCATCCTGTCAAGCAGAGACTCGGCTGGTGATGGAAGCTCAGTTTACCTGCCGCGGAGGACTGTGAGCAGTCAGGTAGGTGTATTTTATTGCAGAAGAGACATGCCTCTTCTGTGACAAATAGACTGCGTGCTTACAATTTATTATAATAACAATTTAGTTCTGTTTTAATTTCTTTATGGAAATTTAGTATACCTTTGTAGTCGGAACTGTACCATGTTCCTAGATTGTAAGTTCGAAAGAGTAGGGCCCTCTAACCCCTCGTGTGCTGTTTGTTGTTGCTGTACTATTTCATGTATTGCCCCCCCCCCCCCCCTCTATTGTACAGCGCTGAGCAAACCCTTTGGCGCTATATAAACTCGATGTAATAATAATAATAATGTTACACAATTACGTATTAATACAGTACAGTATATCCATACAACCAATGTATTTGACCTCAGACTTTAAATGAGGCACAGCACACACAACCAATGAATTACTAGTTTCCAATATTTTTGTTTAATAAATGAATAAATACACTTCTCATTACATGCATACAAGAAGAGGATTAATACATAATAAATATACTACTGACCATATACAATACAGATATCAATACATGATTAAAATTGCATCCAAAAATTCAGCACATTTCTTGACTCTTTGTTCATCTCTTCAGGAGTAGATGCATTTATAATATAAATCAGCTAAGAATCGATATGACAGTATTTGCAAATGGTGATCGCCAGGGGAGTCTCACCGGGAGCTGTGAAAGTGTGACTTAGCAACATCCCAAGGGGAAAAACAGGAAGCAGATTCAAAATGGGTAGGCAATCCATAAAATAATTGCATGAATCAAGAACTATAAGCCAAAGTGTTGCTTCTCAGTATCCTCACTATACATATTAATGTTTTTGAGCTTATTTAACCACTTGCCAACTGAATGACGGCTACAGCAAGGTTGTCCAGTTCTTAGAGGGCGTCATATGATGTCCTCCCAGAACGTGCCCTCCCACGCGCCCCTGGGGGTGCGCACCCAACAAGCTCCATGATTGCTGTGTCCTACAAACACAGCTGATCACGTGATGTGGTGAAAGGCCATGTGATCAGCCGTCATAGCAGATCACCGGTAAATGCAGTTGATGGTTATCGGCTGCACTTTCCTCGCGTTGTCACAGCATGAGGAAAGTACTGCCGATAACCAGCAATTGTCAGAGGACAGATCAGCACCGATCATCAGGGCAGTGATAATCAGTGTTCTGATGATCAGTGCCCAGAAGTGCCACCCACCTGTGCCAAGCAGAGCTGCTCACAAGTGCCCATCAGTGCCACCCACCTGTGCCCATTAGTGTCCATCAGTGCCACCCACTTGTGCCCATCAGTGCCTACTATTGCCACCCACCTGTGCCTAGCAGTGCCAGCCACCAGTGCCCATCAGTGCTGCCCAGCAGTGCCGCCAGTCAGTGCCCATCAGTTCCATCAGTCAGTGCCCCATCAGGGCCACCTATCAGTGCCCATCAGTGCCGCTTATCAGTGCCCATCATTGTTGCATATTAGTGCAGCATCATCAGTGCCAGCTCATCAGTGCCGCCTATCAGGGCCACCTATTAGTGCCCATCAGTGCTGCCTATCTGTGCCATCTCATCAGTGCCACCTATCGTGCCCATCAGTGCCGCCTATCAGCGCCCATCAGTGTTGCCTATCAGTGCAGCCTCATCAACGCACATCAGTGAAGGAGAAAAATTACCTGTTTGCAAAATGGTATAATTGAAACAAAGAAAAAACTTTTTTTTTCAAATATTTTTTATCTTTTTTTGCTTATAGCACAAAAAATAAAACACCCAATGGTGATTAAATACCACTAAAAGAAAGCTTTATTTGTGTGAAAAAAATTATAAAAATTTCATATGGGTACAGTGTTGCATGACCGCGCAATTGTCATTCAAAGCGCAACAGCACTGAAAGCTGAAAATTGGCCTGGGCACAAAGGGGGTATAAGTGCCCTGTAGGCAAGTGGTTAAAGCGAAATTTCAGTAAAACTGAAAAAAAAACCTAAAAATCAACAGCTACAAAAACTGTAGCTGCTGTTAAAAAAAAGGCACTTACCTGTCCCTTGATCCAATGGTGTCCGCCCTGCAGCTCGTTTCACCGGCCGCCCAGTGTTCCCAGTGCCGGCATCTTCAGTGTGGGCTCCCGGTTTGTGGCTTCACAGCTGGGTGCCTACTGAGCATGCATGAGTAACGCTGCGCTTTCTGAATGGCCCCATAGTCTTCAGGGACCTGTTACGTGTCCCAGAAGACTAAGGGGGGTACAACTTCTGCTTCCAATCACCTAGGCGATTGGAGCGGAAGTGGAAGCGGGTACCTGTCAATTTCAGGTACACGCTCCCCAAAGGTGCCAATCCTTAACAGGGAGTGAGGGACCAGTCTATAAAGTGGAACTTACCCTTTTGGGTGAAGCTCTTTGGGAAATGCATCTCTTTTAAAATAGTTAAATATACTATGAATAAATAGAAATGTACTATGAATAAATATAATTTATTT